TGTTTTACTGAGATTTATGAAATCCAATATGGCCGCCGCCTAGTGACGCCACAATATGCAAATTAGATGAGTTAATTTACTCCCATCAGATTCCTCTTCCTTTATTTTGAGGATGAGACGACAAAAACAGCACAAAACAAAAGAAATCTGCTGTGCAAATATGTTCAAAATGCTGTTTTACTGAGATTTATGAAATCCAATATGGCCACCGCCTAGTGACGCCACGATATGCAAATTAGATGAGTTAATTTACTCCCATCACAAACTTTGGGTCATGATGAATAGTTTTCTCATTTACAGTATGCCTTTATCTCTCACCACTTTCAAGCGAAAGCCTTTTGAAATGTTGAAATGAATATTTTCCTCAAATAACTCTGGCAACTAAAGGGTTAAAATGGAGATTCTGCCCCTGTCATGTCTGCATGTAAGATGTAGACACACACACACATCATGTTTCTGTGAGTTTGTGTGGCACAGCGGTTGCCATGGTAATAAACTAGGTGCACCTGGCAGAAGAGCAGAGAGAGACAGACAGAACACAGAGTAGAGAGCTCTTTTACTGTGCGTTCACACCAAACGCGAATTCGCAAATTCGCGCGTCAAGATTACATACAAAGTGAATGTAAAGACGCGATTAGACGCGAATTTGCGCAGGGCGGCACGATGGACACGTCTAGCGCGACGCGATGGACGCGGCGCGATAGACGCGAAATTCGCGTCCAACGCCTCATCGCTCGAGTTGAAAATATTGAACTTTTGAGGCGAATTCGCGTGACTCTGTACCGCGAAAGCCAATCAGCGTTGAGATTCTCCCGACGTCACTGACATCAGTGACGTCTTGACGCCCTGACGTTCAGTTGTTGATGCCAAGATGGAGGAGAAGATTGTAATCGTGGTGTGAGGCTACCCGGAGCTCTATGACACAACGTGTCTACTCTACAGAGACCACAACAAAAAGGAGCAGGCTTGGGTGAAAGTCGCCGAGGAGACTGGTGTACTTGGTAAGTTCTGTAAATATGTGTCTTTTATTAGTTTTCAGAATGGTTGTACTATGAACGTTAACGTTAGCACTAGCTTAGCTCCAGTTAGCACAGCCGGCTTCCCTGCCATAACGTACTTGTCTGTTAACATTACCGATTGTGTTTTTTGTCAGTGGATCAATGTCGAAAGAAATGGAAGAGCCTCAGGGACACTTATTTAAAGGAAAGGAGGAAGGAGGCAGAGAAAAAGAGCGGGGCAGCGGCAGGGCCAGTGAAGAGGTGGAAGTACTCTGCAGTCCTTTCTTTCCTCGACCCCTTCGTAATCCCAAGGGAGACCAGCGGCAATATGGGTCGGGGGGTCGAGGATAGGGCCGCAGAGTACAGAGAGTCAGAAGCAAGGCCGGTCGAGGACCAGGGAGAGGCAGCAGGCCCCTCAGGGATTGAGTCCGGAGGTTTGTTGACAGATGAAGATGCACACAGATAAAGCATTGCAAACTTATAGAAGAGAATTCTGTATCGATGGATAACTGACTTGTATAGATGTCTCAGTATAGAGATTTCTTTTCACAGCCTGTACTATAAATACTGACAAAGACGATTTGAAAATACCCTATACTAATATGTATTCTCACCTACAAAACCTGAAATTAAAACACTTGGATATTGAATGGAACAAGCCCATGGAAGAACACAAAAACACCAGAAATCATCGCTGCATTAAAGGGTTGTGGAGGCTAGATATTACCATGGCTGGAACTGTATGATGTGTTAATATGGGTGCATTTGTAAAATGCTTTTTGTGCTGTAATTGACAGTGAAAGCTAGAATGATTGAGACAATTAAAATGTAACAAAAAAACTAAAGACACCTTTGTCACTACTACAGACCACCAAGCACCGGACTCTCCCAACAGCAGTGACACAGAACCTGCTCCTGCTGCCTCTCCCGCTGACGGCTCTGCTTCTGGCTCTTCTTCTGGCCCTGCCACTGCCCCTGCTGCTACACAAGGGAGAGCACCCAACGGTATGAGTATAATTTTTGCATGGTGTTTTTCACCATGAAAAGTACCTTTCAAAGTTACTTTCAGTTTGACTCATATCTTTTTGTCTGTTGCCTGATTTCAATATTTTAACAAATATTCACTTAGATATTGTGTAACTTAGACCTTTTGAATTGATTGGATGCAGCAGTTTATGTTTCCAAAAAATATGTTTCCATTTCACACAGTGACAAGAAGGGCCAGGAAGAGAGGGAGGGAGGACGCAGAGACCAGGCAGAGCCAAATTGAGGAGCTGCTCCTGGAGGCCCTCAAGAGGCAGGCGCAGCCTGGTCCACCTGCTCCACCTGATCCTCCTCGTCAGCCTCCCTCGGAGGATGAAATGTTCCTCCTCAGCCTGGTTCCTTCCCTGCAGAGATTGTCGCCCCAGCGGAAGGAGTATGTGAAATTTCACATACACAAATTAATTTTTGAAGCCAGCCCTGTTGTGCTAAATTTTGATCATTGTGAGTAGCTTTTTAGCTAATGGTGCAACAATCTCTGCAGGGAACGAACCACGCTTGTCCGTTTTTTAAAAATAGGTGTCCCTGAGGCCTCCATTTCAAATTGTTCACCCAAGCCTGCTCCTTTTTGTTCTCTGTAGAGTAGACACGTTATTTGTATATATGTTCACTTTTTATGTTTTATACTGGAAGATTTATATATACAGTACAGGCCAAAAGTTTAGACACACCTTCTCATTCAATGTGTTTTCTTTATTTTCATGACTATTTACATTGTAAATTCTCACTGAAGGCATCAAAACTATGAATGAACACATGTGGAGTTATGTACTTAACAAAAAAAGGTGAAATAACTGAAAACATGTTTTATATTCTAGTTTCTTCAAAATAGCCACCCTTTGCTCTGATTACTGCTTTGCACACTCTTGGCATTCTCTCCATGAGCTTCAAGAGGTAGTCACCTGAAATGGTTT